TCACGAGCCATCAGTGGCACATTCGAATGCGCATTGAAGAGTTCGCGCCGGGGCATGTGAGGCAATAAACTGTGTGACAGCATCGCCGTGGGCACATGTTCTAGTACCTTTGCCGAGTGCTTAGAACTGTGCAGGTCAGAGAGGGACCCTCGTGCATCGGTGGCCTCCACGTCGCGCTAACGTGTCCGTGGCCGCGTGGTCACACAGAGACGCCGCACGATGGTGCCAGATGTTTGCCAGGGGCTGTGAGTAGGGGGGACGGGTGTATGGAAACTCCGTGTGCTCCGCTCTGTTTTCTGTTAACCTACACGTGCTCTAAAAATACAAGTCCGGGACCGAGAGAGAGAACGTTAGCGCTGCGTACCTGGTTCTCGGGTCCTCGGGAACGAGCGTCCCACAGGGGCGAGAAGGCGTCTGCTCCGCGCCGTCGCTGGGCTCGCCGTGTAGGGAGGGCTTGCAACCATTAGGGTAGAAATCTTTGAGAATTAAGACTTTTTCTGATTTTAGAATAGAAAGGAGGTCCACCCAGCATGCCCACTGTTACAGAGCATCCCCCGCTGAATCTGGGTCAGCATCCCACTTAATCAGACACATTTGTATTCTGCAGCAGGAAGTATGAATATTCACACAGAGGCTATATATAGCCTCCCACGAGGTCAGGGCCGGGTCGGCCTCCACTGAGTTACGGAGTGTTCGCATTTGTTGAAAATTCATTTTTCTTTTCCTAACCGGGGCTTGATGTCAAAATCACCCAATGACTTATTTTTAAAGGAGTAATGAATCCACCGTCCCTGGAATTGTCAGGGCGGGAGGGGAGGGTCAGAGTGGGATGTGGGGACGGTCCCCCGGCGGTCCCTCTGCACGCCCCCAGCCCTCCAGAGAAGCAACGCAGACGCCGTCCATCCCTCACGTCCACCCCGCGGTGCTGAGCCCTGGCGTGACGCCCCATGCTCTCCCTGGGGTATCCCCGTCTGCATGGCAGCAGCAATTTCTGTCGCCAGGGAACAAAGGAGGCGGAGTCCCCTGGTGGGGTCTCCCTTCCCTCCCTGCCACCAGTGGTGTGCCAGCCGCCGCCGTCCTGTGACGGGTTTAACATGCTCATTTGCGGGTTTGAAGGAAGAAGGGTCGAAGCAGGGATGGGGAGGGAGACGGCTCACTCCGCAGCGCCCTCTAGTGGTCCTTCTGCCTCAGCGCCACCCACCTGCGCAACCAGGGAGAACCCAGGGTCGCCCTGAGGAGGCCCCGGTAGGTGTCCATTTTCAGGGGCCAAAGCATCACCCAGACAGCGCGGTGGGAAGGCGGCTTCAGAGACCCCAGAGTCTTGGTGTTGTCAGTCCGGACTGTGGTTTGGTTTCAAAAACAAGCATGAGCTCGGCCAGTGTGGCTCAGGGGTTGAGCGTCGACCCTGCACCAAGAGGTCGCTGGTTCGATTCCCGGTCAGGGCACATGCCCATGTTGTGGGCCTGATCCCCCGTGGGGGGCGTGCAGGAGGCGGCCAGTCGATGTCTCTCTCATCGATGTTTCTATCTCTCCCCTTCCCCTTCCTTTCTCTCTAAAATAGATAAAGAAAAAAAAATTAAAACAAAAAACAAGCACGATATGATTACCATGCGGTTGGTCTACCTTAGAGACACATTGGCTTGTTAAATCCTGGTCCCCTAACACTTTCCGACACAGTCCTTTGCCTGTCTAGGCTGAAATCATGGCCAGTCCTTGGCCACATGGAACAGCGTCCCGAGACCAAGGGAAGGGGACTTGTCGGCGAGACTCTCGTGTGGACCTTCGAGACAGGGGCGTTCAGTGTGCCTCCCCCGTCTCCCCAGGAACACGCCCCTTTCTCCCGGGCTCCTCGAGGTTGGGGGGAAATCAGAAACTTTCACTTGTTATTCTCAAAATAGTGGCAACCCTGGTCTAAAGATGCCCGAGGTAGGGTATCTGTTCTCTCCAGGAAGCTCAGCTTGCTAATCTGTCCCCTCCTGTCTTTGGGAAACCACGGGCTCACGCTGGGCAGGCCGTGGTCTCCGTAGACGATCCCCGAAACTCGGTCCTCTCTGTGCGAATGTTTACTTCCAGGCAGTGAGCTTGGTTAATCAAGAGCAAATAAAAACTTTAGATGGATTGTGTTATTTATAGCAAATGCAAAACATCATTATTATCAATTCTTGTTACAAAATACACAGAAAAAGTATCCTTTTTGTTATTGAAATACGGCACGGATACGTGGAGAGACAGACAGATGTGTGGCCGCCACCTCTCAGCTGTCTTCTGAATAATCACTATTGTGCTGTATTCGTGCTTGGAATTACTTGTAATAGACTTTATTTCCGTCTGAAATTCAAATCAGGGAACACCAGTGAATTGAGATGATTGATAGTATATATACACACATAATTTTGGAATTGGAGCAACAATAGAAACAGTCCTCTCTTCGAGAAAAACCCCCCCAGCGTACAGCTGTTTTAGTGACCTTGATGAGTAACCCTGTCCCACAACTAACTATGCCAGGAACACGCCTAATTCTTCACGGTTGAGTCAAGCCAACCTTTGACCCAAGATCTAAGTTTGTTCTGAAAATATCCTGTAGTTGTTGAAAACCTGAAATGCAACTACCGGGATTTTGAAATGTCTAGTTTTAAACCATAAGTGTTACAAAAGAAAGAAAGTGCTCGAGTCCTTTCCTTCCACGGTCTTACTTTTATGTTCCGTGGCAGCTCTGTGAGACGCGTACGTGGCACAAGGTGGGAGGATGGGCATGGTAACAGCTCGTGACTTCTTTGAATGCAAATTTATTTATTTTTTGTTAAATCCTCACCTGAGATTATTTTTCATGTATCTTCAGATAGAGTGGGAGGGAGGGAGAGAGAGAGAGAGAAACATCGATGTGAGAGGAACACATCACTGGTTGCCTCCCGCACGACCCGACCAGGGCCGGGGACTGAACTGCAACCAAGACATGTGCCCTTGACTGGAATGGAGCCCGAGACTCTGGTCTGCGGGCCGACGCTCTAACCGCTGAGCCACACCGGCCAGGGCTTAGATGCCAGTTTCATGTGTACGTGCATCTGTGGGAAACAGGCACAGTTCCTTCCCCATCTGACTGTGGGCGCCACAGTGAACCTTGTCATTTTAGAGAGGAGACTATCGGGGTGCAGGGAGATGAGGGGATGGTTGGGGGGTCATGGAGTTAGTAGTTGGCCCAGGCATGGAGTCTCAGCTCCTGGTTTTTCTGCACCCACATCCTGATTGTCACAACAAGGCCACCGGTGTCCCCGCTCCTTCATGATGAAATAGACTCTGTCTGGTCGTCCGTCTCCTTGCTTTGTCTTCTGTCCCGATCTCAAAAGGTGGGTGTTTGCAAAGCCTGGGTTACAAGCCTTGAGAGAAACCCACTTGCTGTGTCTTTTGCCTGCTTCCTGAGCCGGGGTTCACCTGCATGCGGCCGTCTCGTCCCATCTCCTGTCACCAACAGAGCTGCTGACCCCGATCACAGTTATAATCCTCAGCCTTCGAAATAATCACACTTCGGGGGAAATGGGTTGTCAGCTCCAGGGTGATATTACTTTACATCATAGCCACTGGCCCTTCTACCTCAAAATTCATCAGCCAGTGCCCAAGTCAGCTGCTGGGACCCGTTAAAAACAGAAACCACCCCTCTCAAGTAGGTCCGCCCCGTGGACCACCTCCCGTGTAGAAGCCGCTGTACCTGGCAGCACAGGGCACAGGAAAGAGGGCAGAGACAGCCGCGCTCCCAAGGAGCTCAGGGTCCAAAGAAGGAGACGTGTACTCGGCAGGAAGGGTAAGTGCCCAAGGGGCATGTGATGGAAGGAAGACAGCGAAGGTCTGGAAGAGCCTTCTAGAAAAAGTAAAGAACTTGAACTAGCTTTTCCCCCACTGTTCCAGCCGTTTTTACCAATTCAACAAGATAAGAGGTGGAAATAAGGGGTAAAAAAATTACAGAAACAGAGTTATTGTCTGCAGCAATAAGACCTGAGAACTGAGGAAGACGGCGTTGGAATGAATGAGTGTTCACGTAAAGGGATTTTGAAGAATGAAATCACTTTCGTGGGTGAAGGCGGCGTGCCGCATTCGGCCCCGTGTTTATCGTGGGTTCCCCCAGAAGTACAGACACCCACGCTGCCTCTGAGCGTGGCTGGCAGATGGTCCGAGTCTCTGGGTCTGTCCCGTGACCAGGTCCACGCAGCTAGGCTCTCTTGTTGAGGGAAGGCATTTAGAAACCCACACATCACCTTACTGTCAAATGTTGTTGGTCCAGCCAGTGTGGCTCAGTGGTTGAGCGCTGACCCACACACTAAGAGGTCGCCGGCTCAATTCCCAGTCAGGACACGTGCTCAGGTTGTGGACCCCATCCCCAGTGGGGGGCATGCAGGAGGCGGCCACTCAGTGTTCTCTCTCATCGATGTTTCTATCTCTCTCTCCCTCTCACTTCCTCTCTGTCTGAAATCAATAAAGGAAAAAAAAATTTTTTAAAGTCTGTTGACCCAGCGATAGACAGGTGTGTGTGACGGAATCTGTGAGCGGGGTCACAGCGGTGCGGTCCAGGGCATCCCTGTGTGGGCCCCGAGCAGGCTGGAGGGAAACAAGCACTCTGGTCCATCCCCACAGGTAGCGTGGGAATCATGACCCCAGCTTTCTCTTTACCAGCCTACACAGCCGATTTTAAGAGAGGTTCATCCGTACGTGATCAGAACAGGGCGTTCCCTGTGCTGGTACACGCGTGGCCTCCTCGTGGCTGCTTCTTGTCTGGAAGCCGTTACAGGAAACAGTGCTCCCAGTGAACAGGGGCGTCTGTACCTCGTGGTGTCTTTGCGATCATCCACACTGCCCTGGTCCTCAGTGGGAAATCACCCAGACTGCGACTGAGTGTCCCGGGCGACCGTGTCTCTGTCAGTGTCTCTCTTTGGTTCCGTTTGGTTGTGGTGGTGTTCGTCCCTCTGTGGATGGCGTTCTTCATCTCGGGGACTTTTCTCTTCTCATTTCAGATGACTACACGCTGCATGGCCCGATTTTTGTTCAAGAGCCGAGTCACGTCATGTTCCCTTTGGATTCGGAGGAGAAGAAGGTGAAGCTCACTTGCCAAGTTCGAGGAAATCCCAAACCACACATCAGGTGTGTTGATTGCTGAGCATGTGCCTCCATGTGGGTGGTTTCTGTTACTAACATCAGCAAACACCCCTGGGGTGCTGAGCTTTCAGACAGACCTCACCGCTGTGCTGAGACCCCAAAGACAGGTCTGTGTCATGCAACCTCACCGCTGTGCTGAGACCCCAAAGACAGGTCTGTGTCATGCAAAGGTCAGCACCCACCTTCTGTGTCGGGTGCTGCCGGACTTCCCTGTCCTGGTGACCCTCTCGCTGACAGCCTTACTGTTTCCTAATGATGGGTTTTTCCCAAAACAACGTATTAAAATGCATCGATAAAATGGCAGAAAAGTAAGAAATATTCAGAAGTCATGACGTAAGTGGGTTTGGAACCCGGAGGAGAAAGCTGTCCCCTGAGAAGTGGTTTGCACCTTCATGAAATGTGTGAACCGGACCTTGAGTTGTGCAGCTTCACAAGGGACTTGGGGTCACAGGACAGAGTCTCAACTCAGCCAAGACGAGAGGCTAACAGGAGCGTGCTTCCCAAAACAGCCGGGGTCCCAAGGGCTCTATCCTTCCAAGACATGTAACAAGCACTAAGCTTGCTTCCCTCCTACAAGGGACAGTCAAGCACACGTAACTGCCTATGTGTTATAACTGCTTTGGTGCTAAGTGGGCTTTTTTTGTTTGTTTGTTTTCATTTTTAAGAATCTTTTTTAAAATATGTGTTCCTGGTTTTTTTAGAGAGAGAGAGAGAGAAACATCGATCAGCTGCCTCCTGCCCACCCCCACTGGGGGCCTGCAACCTGGGCATGTGTCCTGAGCAGAAATCGAACCAGGACCTCTCAGTCCATGGGACATCGCTCCATCCCCTGAGTCACACCGACCGGGCGGTGCTAACTGGTTTTAATAGCAGAGGAGGCGCAGCTGAACGGAGAAATCGTGAACTTGAAGATATGTTTGAAGACATCATCTCGAGGCAGCGGAAAGGGATGCAGAGAAGCAAAAGTCGAGCAGAGAGATGAAGAGAAAGTGTTGACACACGCGTCTGATCAGAGACCCACAAGCAGAGCAAGGGAGAATGGGAGGAGGCAGTGTCAACACGGAAGGCTTCGAAGTCCTGAGCTAACTGCAGATTCCAGGCTGTAGATCTAGGGAGCCCAGTGAACTTCAAGGAGTAGAAATAGAACTGAAGCCTCACGTAGGGTTCCCACAGGGAGCAGCGGACCACCCGGCCGGCGACATGATCATAAAAGCAGCCAGAGTTGCACATAACACAGGTCACGTTCGAAGAGACAGAGGCGACAGTGAAACCTGCAGCATCTCAGTAGCAACAGGAGTGAGAGAAAACCTCTTCGATGCCGAGAGAAATCAACTGTCCCATGTCTTTATAGCGGAAACACTCTTTTTAAGGAGAACAAAATAAATACGTTTTAAACCAAACACTGACGTTGGATGCCAACGGCCCCCCCTCCTAAAGAAAATTCTGAAAAATATACTTAAAGCAGAATAAAAATGATCCCCGATACAGGAAAAAGTGATAGGAAAAACGAGTGGTCAAGGTGTGTGTTTCCGCAGAAAAATTAATTGCACTTAACAATGAAAGCGATAAAAATAAGACTGTCTTGCAAAGACAAAGAAAAAAAAGTCATGGCAATAATAGGAATAAGTTGGAAAGAGGTATACCGCGCAGTGGATTATCTGTACGGTTAAAAAAATGAAATCAAGTTGGACCCCTACCTCACAGTATGTACAAAGATGAGTTCTAGGGGATAAGACCGACATGGAAAACGTACCGCACGTTTAAAAGGAAATAGACATGCACATCTGTGACTTTGGAGGGAAGAAAAGATTTCTCAAATATGACAGAAAGTATTTAACTTCATTAATGTGAAGACGTTTTGTTCGACAGAATTTACTGGGAAGAGTAAAGTTACAAGTTTCCAGCTGGGAGCAGAAAGGGTGCATATTACCATGGGCAAAGGGTTAACATCCAGAGAGTTTAAAGAATTCCCACCAACCTAAAGTAAAAAAGTAAGGAACCCAATAGAACATTCCCGACAGGCTCGGTTAGGTGCTTCTAGGGAGAGGGATGTCAAATACCCACTAAATGTATAAAAAGATTTCCGGGGCCATTCGTGAGCAGGAATATGCAAAGTAAAACTAAAATGACACCCTCTCCCAAACCTACCAGGCTGACAGAGATTTCGAAGACTACATTTATTGTAATATAAACAGCATGAATAAATATGACTGGGTATGTTCCTGCCGGGCGGCCCGACGCAGTGGCCGAGATGACTGAGTCACAGCTGCTGCAGGGGTCACGGGACACGGTTGGGAGTAAACACAGCAAGTCACAGGACAGGCTGAAGTGCCCTGTTCACAGAGTCTGGAAGCCGATCAACGGAGCAGCTGTTTAAGGGCTGATGCACCTGACAGAGTCGTCGTGGGAATCAAGGGAACCAAAGACCGAAATCAACTAGAATGCACCACCGAGCCGGGGGCTTCGAAGCAACGTGGAAATAGGAGACTTTGAAAGTTATAACATCCCTTTCCTCAGACACAGGCCTTGATTGTGTTGTGATTCTTCCTAACTTACAAACATCTTGTGAATGTCATCTTGCTTCTATTTAAATGTAGTGATAAAAACATCGAGGTAAACGTCCATGCAGAGCAGTAGGTAAGAACCAGAAGACATGTCGCTTACGCCAAAGGGGAGGGGAGGAAGGGGTTGGAGTCGCCCACAGAAGTGGGGTCTCACCTGGGACAGGCAGACTTCAGGGTGCAGAGGGCAAACAGCACCCACGGAAGTTAAAGGCCATGAACATCGTGGAAATATTGCAGTGTAACTTCTTCGCCCATTCATTCATTCTTCACACGTACCATCATTCGTCCAACGACCCAGCTGCCCTGTGTTTTCCAGGTGTGAGTCACCTGGCGGTGGCTCGGGAGGTACCTGGGCAGCTCGGCCCCGAACTGGGGTACACACCAGAACAATGAAGAGTGTCGCGCGGGGAGGGTGTCTGGGCCACCACGCTACGAGCTGGGTGTACCAGGACCACGCTGGGCTTGACTACTGGAGTAGCATTCTCTGGGGGCACTGCCCGGAGGCGTCAGTGACTGAGAGCTAAGCCCTGCGTGTACAGGGTGCCAAGTTCTAGGCCACCCTGGAGGAAAGAAGGCCACTCCGGGATGGCGACAGAGGCATCAGCGAGGTCTCTCAGAGATGAACCAGGAGGACGAAGGATCTTTACCATTTGGGTAAGAAAAGGAACCGCATTCCAGGAAGGAAAACCCAAACAAACCATAGCCCCCTAATGGAAGGCACCCTTCGGGGTGAACGTGTAAATTATCATCTGAACCGGGACAGTCTGCCGGGGACGGCCACTGTCACTAAGGACGCCAGGGCAGCAGGTGAGACCTCAGCACTGTCCTGGGCAAACAACGTGCAGTGCGTGTCCCTGCAGCAGGGTGGCTTCCAGGCTAAATCCGAACACTTGAAAATGCTTCCTGTTGTGGAAAGTAGATGCAGGAGGCCAGCTTCCTCCTCTGGTTTCCAGCAGAGCCAGGGGGAGTTCCCCCTTGACAGTCAACTGCAGCAAATCTGCGCAGATCTGGGCTAGCTGCTACTTTGTTTCTCTCCAAACCCTGGCCCTTCATTAACATAACTTTTGTAACATTGTGTCTCAAGCCAGGAGGCCTTGCTTGGTTATTTAAAACCAGCCAGGGGATCCAACAGCCTATTGTGTTTTTGAAGATCCCCAGAGGAAGCAGAGAAGACAACTTTGAATGCTGCTTTGATCCTTGTTATTCTCTGGGCCTTGGGCAGCTTCTCTGTCCCTGAGCTGAAACCCCCTCCCTGGGGCTGAAGGCAGGCCAGGGAAGCTTGGGAATCTGGTGTTTTCAAACACCTTTCTGGCTGAACCTGTTCAGTGCTCGGGCTGACTTTGGGGTGAAGTAGGAGAAATTCAGGGCGCGCTCTGCACTGGGCGCCTCAGACCCCCCACAGACCTCGCCTCTTTGTGTTCGCTCCGGGGCTGACCTTGCCCTTTGCATTTTCCCTGACCATCGATTTTGAGAAGATTGACCCAGACCCAGAAAACTTGAAGAAGTTTTGACGAGTGCCGACTGCCCTTGTCTGAGTCTCTGAAGGACAGCCGACATGCTTTGGGCAGGCCCTAAGCTTCCCTTCCAGGCAGGAGCCACGCGCACAACTCGGAGTGATTGTGTTCACAGAGAGCAGATTCCAAGTCAGAGAGGTCCTGCCCCTTCCCTGCCGAGCTGAAACCGCGAACAAAGAGACAGGGTTTTGCTTCAATAAATGCCACAGATGGCTCTTCCAAGACTCCCAGAGCCGCTGGCTGGGCCACAGCCTCCAAGTGGCTCAGAAATCAGCGTTCGAGACTCACCACTATGTCCTGGCCCTGGGGAAAATCTCCCTGCTTGCAAACGCGCATGGTCTGTCCATTGCGAGTACTTAAGTGACTCCGAAAACAAACTGAAATTTTCAAGATTGGACTGAGACGAAGGAGCCGGGCGTCCACACCAGGTCCCTGCCGTGCCCCTCACACACCTGCTGTCTCTATAGGCCTGGCCCTTTGCTCTCTGGAGGTGAGGGGCCGCAGAGGGAGGGCGGTGTGCGGGCGGCCCTGGGAGGCCCTCGGCCTCACTGTCCCCAGAGCCGCTCTTCTGAAGAGACGCACATGGACTCGTTCCTGGATCCCACACTCTGCTTGCAGCTCACATTAGTTTGCAATTTCCTCTTTGAGTTCTTCGATTTGTCATATTAAATGGCTCGACTGTCATTTGAAGTGAGAGTTAGGGCTGAGACGTGATCGGTTGACTCAAAAAAAAAAATGTCCAAGGCAGGCAGCCAGCTCCAGGGATTCATGTGCAGAGAGACCTGCGGAAATATCACCCGGCTGTTCTCTTTTTATTGCTTATTACTTCCCCGTGAGTGTCAGGGCACAGAGAATTACTGTCGGGCCTGGGGACCCGGGCGGTGGGGCGCACGCGTCTCCTTGCGAGCGCACGCACCCAGCCACGTCCTGCCGTGTCGCTCTGCCCACCTTCCCACTCCTCACCTCTCTGACGCCTCCCGTTTCCAAGACAGAGATGCGGGCACAGCCTGCTCCGGAGGGCCCTGTGGCCAAAGCACCGACGTCGGCCGAGTGTGGATGGAGCCCAAAGAGAGCGAGCGTCACATTCCAGGTTGCTAAAGGGACAGGCAGAGGCGACGGAGGCAGAGACCTGAGGGGAAGGCAGAGTCCCTGCCGCAAGCGGTTGGGGCAAGTTGGATTCATTTGACCAGGAATAGCCAGGAAGGCTCTTGTTAGAAGAGGTGTCCTGTAAGGTGACCTTGAAGTGTGAGCCATCTCAACAGAGAGGGATCATTCTTTAAACACCTGCTTTTGTTGATAGCAAATGTCCAAAACCTTGACGCGGGGTGGGCCTGCTCGTTCTCACTCACACGGGCTTCTGCACGGGCTCCGGCCCGGGACCCCGCGATAGGAGCGGCTCCCGTTCTCCCCTCTCGGTCTCCCTGTGCTTCTGGGCCCCAGCTGGTCCCCCGGTGAGTGCGGCCGTGACACTGTGGTGCCAGAGCTCCAGCGGGCTGTTGTCCTCACCTGATGCTCTGGGTGAGGTGGAGGGAGGACAGGAATCAGCAGTTACTGAATTGGATCAGCTCAAATTTCCCACGTATTCAAATGACTTACTGGTTAAGGCAAGCGCTCTTTGGAATGTTATTGGCCAGATATAACTCATATAGAGATAGAGATAGAGATAGATGATATAGATATAGAAATAGATAGGGATATAGATATAGATGATATAGATATAGATGATATAGATATAGATATAGATATAGATATAGATATAGATGATATATATATAAATATAGATGATATAGATATAGATATAGATGATATAGATATAGGTATAGAGATAGATGATATAGATATAGATGATATAGATATAGGTATAGAGATAGATGCTATAGATATAGATGATATAGATATAGAGATAAATGGTGTAGATATCGATAATATATAGAGAGAGAGCTATAGATATAGATATAGATGATATAGATATAGGTATAGAGATAGATGATATAGATATAGATGATATAGATATAGAGATAAATGGTGTAGATATAGATAATATATAGAGAGAGAGCTATAGATATAGATATACATGATATAGATATAGATAGATAGATAGAGATACAGATATGGTCTTGTTACTAGAGATTTTCTGTTTAAATGTGTGAGTCCCACTCAAAGTCATTTCATGAGTAGTCAGATGACCCAAGTACACAGAGAACGAAACTGTCTTTGCCCCTGACATGAATGGCCGGATCTGAGCTTCTGGGGCCGGCAGGTGTGTGCATGCCAGTGGCCAAGGGCATCTTCTCTGCCCTCCGGGCTGCGGCCAGCGTGGTCCCTGAGACAGCCCTGCGGCCCCGGCTCCACACGCGGCCATCCCAGCCGCGTTAAGGACCCGTGGAAGCGGCGCCACTGGTCCCTCAGAGACTCGGCTCTCTACCGGGGATGGTGCCGCTGACTTCTGCGGGAACGTTCACATGAAGAATAACCGCAAACCAGCAAGGACTTGGCCCGGGAGCCCTGTTTGGAGAAAGCTGTACAAGGTGCTATGGGAACATTAAAACCAAACAAACAGATACCCCACAGCGACGTGTCTATGGCGTCACGAGTTGCTAAAAAGCAGGCTTTACCATTTTATTACCAGTGTTTCTTTAAAAGACACGCATTTAAGTTGTCACCGCTGCGGGGGAAGGGGGAGCCGTCCTAATTCTTTTTACCGTGGTTAAAAAGCCATGATGACTGTGCAGCCCCCTTCTAGTGGTTATGTGTTTGGGACCATTCGGAAGTATTGATGAATGTGACACGGCTTTGTCTCCTGGCGTTTTCACACCACAGGTGGAAGCTAAATGGAACAGACATTGACGTCGCTATCGATTTCCGCTACAGTGTGGTCGAAGGCAGCTTGCTGATCAATAACCCCAACAAAACCCGCGACGCCGGGACCTACCAGTGCGTAGCAACCAACGCCCTGGGAACAGTGGTCAGCAGACAGGCAAAGCTTCAGTTCGCGTGTGAGTAGTAACTGGATCACTCCGCAGACCTGACTCGCAGCCTCGGCGCCGCTGTAGTAACGAGCCTGCAAAACTGTCTCTTTTCAGAAACCAAACAGATGTTAATGTGTTATCCGATCGTCTTGACTCCTTACTCATATGTTGGAAGTACCCTGTTTGTAGGAAAGATTGCAGATCCGCATGGGAAAATAGATGTCTTCTGTTTGTATGACGATTGAGATCATTTGATTATATGGCAGTTTGGTTATAGGGGGCTCTGTACACACACTCAAATTTACACACATACATTTACATACACAAAAATTACTCACACACACTATAAAAAATATGTATAAATAAGCAAATGAGCCGCCATGAACTTAATACTCAGATGGAACGTGATTAACCGTAAAGCTCATGTAGAGAAAAACTGGGTAGTCTACTAATTCTATCATTGTCTAACTTTTTCTTACTGCATCAATTAGGGAAATTTTATTTCTTTACTTTTAATTTTTTTCCTTTATTGATTTTAGAGAGAGAGGAAGGGAGAGGGAGGGAGAGAGAGAGAAACATCGATGAGAGAGAACATCAATTGACCGCCTCCTGCGTGCCCCCACTGGGGATTTGGCCCACAACCTGGGCACGTGCCCTGACTGGGAAATGAACCAGAGACCTTTTGGTGTGTGGCCCACGCTCAGCCACTGAGTCACAATGGCTGGGCCGATTAGGGAAATTTGAAAAACAACTACAAGCCCTGGCCGGTTTGGCTCAGTGTTAGAGCGTCGACCTGCGGTCCTGAGAGACCCGGGTTCGGTTCTCACTAAGGGCGCGTACCTCGGTTGCAGTTTGTCCCCGGCCTTGGTTGGTCGTGCGGGTGGCAGCCACTCGATGTGTCCCTTTCACATTGATGTTTCTCTCTCTCTCTCTCTTCCTCTCTCTCCCTCCCACTCTACCTGAACAAAAAAATGGGAAAATGTCCTCGGGTGAGGATAAAAAAAAAAAAGAAAAACAACTACAATAACAGAAAGTTAAGACGATTAAAGTTACCTTTAGATTACACCCTTTCTATTTCTAGTTTAGAACACTTAAAAACCGACTTGCCATTTCTTAAGACTGGCAGCTAACAACAGTTCATGAGACTATCAAGTGTCAAAGAAAGTGGAGTGTAGAAGTAGCAAGAGGCAAATAGAATCCACAGGCAAGAACCGGAGCACACGAATACGGAGTCCTTTGAGGACTGCTGACCAGGGCCATTGTAGGGGTCAGTGTAGTCCTTTGAGGACTGCTGACCAGGGCCATTGTAGGGGTCAGTGTAGTCCTTGGAGGACTGCTGACCAGGGCCATTGTAGGGGTCAGTGTAGTCCTTGGAGGACTGCTGACCAGGGCCATTGTAGGGGTCAGTGGAGTCCTTTGAGGACTGCTGACCAGGGCCATTGTAGGGGTCAGTGGAGTCCTTTGAGGACTGCTGACCAGGGCCATTGTAGGGGTCAGTGGAGTCCTTTGAGGACTGCTGACCAGGGCCATTGTAGGGGTCAGTGGAGTCCTTTGAGGACTGCTGACCAGGGCCATTGTAGGGGTCAGTGTAGTCCTTTGAGGACTGCTGACCAGGGCCATTGTAGGGGTCAGTGTAGTCCTTTGAGGACTGCTGACCAGGGCCATTGTAGGGGTCAGTGTAGTCCTTTGAGGACTGCTGACCAGGGCCATTGTAGGGGTCAGTGGAGTCCTTTGAGGACTGCTGACCAGGGCCATTGTAGGGGTCAGTGTAGTCCTTTGAGGACTGGTGACCAGGGCCATTGTAGGGGTCTGTGTATTTGCATGTGATCACATAGTTCCTTGAGTAAAATCCAACTCATAGAGCAGTGCATTAGTGTCAAAGGTTTTATAATTACAAAGTCTTTTAGCGGTAACACTGTAGAATATTCTCATTAACAAAATCCTCTCTGGAACTCAACATCAAATACACCTAATATTCAGTGCTTACTCTATTAGTGCCATTTGGTGGCACTTTTATTAGCCGAGAAATGAATTTTCTAAGTACCAGGTGTATGGGCTCCAGGGTCACTTTGCGTGTGAATGTCTTCCAGATACGTGTGGCTGAATAACAGGAGGGATTGGATCTGCAGAACCAAAGTGTTTGTTTCTCTTGGTTTTATACAAGCCTCATAGCTACATTCACTTTTTAGGAATATCAGATGAACTTTGCTGGGTTCATTTCGGAAGACAGTCTCTTGGATTTCAGTGTAGGGAGTTTGTCAAAATTCCAACAGTAATAACAAAACAACAAAAAAGAGATTGACAGCCCTGGCCGGTGTGGCTCAGCGGTTAGAACGTCAGCCCGGGGACCAAAGAGTTGCGGGTTTGATTCCGGTCACAGGCACGCACCTCGATTGTGGTTCAGTCCCCAGCCCTGGTTGGAGTCATGCAGGAGGCAACCAATCGATGTGTCTCTCTCACGTCGATGTTTCTCTCTCTTTCTCTTTCTATCTGAAAATAAATGGAAAAATACCCTTGGGTGAGGATTTAAAAAAAAAAGAGAGAGAGAGATTGACAAAGTTTTACCAACCTCTTGATTTTCTAACTTATGGCATTTAAAAGACAAACAACAAAGGCTGAAGACCACGCTGTGTGAAAGTCCACGCATCGCTACTGCCCAACATCTGCAGGACAGCCTCTCAGCGGCAGGTCGGTCCTTTCAAGGCGATGGCTCAGCCACAGTGAAAGTCCGCCGCTCACCTGGTGGGTGAGTTACCTGGGCACAGTGTCAGGGACCCGCCTTGCTTTCCCGCCTCAGGTGTGGTGCGGGCATCCTGCCCTCAGGATCCCGGGCTGCCAAGCATTCAGCTTGTAAAAACAGAGAGCGCTCAGCTCTTGCTACAGAGCATCCCGACCCACGCAGACTTCTCTGGCTCCCAGGCACGAAACTAACCCAACTTCTCCTTCCTTAAAACGGTCCTCAGTGTATAAATGGTCACCGTTTGTACAGCCGGAGCTCACCATGTGATTTCCGCTGGGCTTTTATTTTTATTATTTTTTTTTATTTTTTATTTATTTATTTTTTTATCCTCACCCAAGGACATTTTTCCATTTTTTGTTCAGGCAGAGTGGGAGGGAGAGAGAGGAAGAGAGAGAGAGAGAAACATCGACGTGAAGGGACACATCGAGTGGCTGCCACCCGCACGACCAACCAGGGCCGGGGACAAACTGCAACCGAGGTACGTGCCCTTAGCGGGAACTGAACCCGGGTCTCTCAGGACCGCAGGCCGATGCTCTAACCGCTGAGCCAAACCGGCCAGGGCTTCGCTGGACTTTTAAATCTGCGAAAATACGATCCTGGCCCTTGATCCCTTGATTCGTTTCTCTTCCAGGTACTTAATTCACAACCTTCCTCTCCACAGAACACTCCGTTATGTTCACTGTGACCATGTCGATAGAAATGTGCTCAATTCTGAGCATGTGGTTTGAGCCTGCGGAGGACAGGGGGACAGGAGCATCCCGCGACGGGGACTTTGTTTTCAGTGAATGTAGCTGACATTGATACTCACTTTCATTTGTTTGTTTGTTAATCCTCACCTGAGGGTATTTTTCCATTGATTTTTTAGATAGAATGGAAGGGAGGGAGGGAGAGAGAGAAACATAGATGTGAGAGAGACATATCGATTGGTTGCCTCCTACACGACCTCGACCCAGGTGAGGGATTGAACCTGCAACCCAGGTGCCTGCCTTTGGGAATCGAACCTGATATCCTTTGGTCTGCAGGCCGGTGCTCTAACCATTTAGCCACACAGGCCAGGGCAGTAGTCACATTTTCTAAAGCCCCAGATGCATATCGCGGCCTTATTTTGAACATACAGTTATATAAAATCTGAGGATTTATTTTCGATCAGTGTCTATTAATCCTGAGCTACTTGATCGTGTTATTGCCCTAAATTCAGAGTATTATATTTACCCCTATTAAATTCACCTTCTGAAGAGTGACCCTCTGTTCCGTTCAACTTGAAACCGTCGTCAATCTTTTTTGTATCTGAAATATTGGTCACCTTCTCCCAGTGTCCGCGGAAACTTTGATAACCACGTGTCCAGTCAGGTCACTGACGGAACATGTTGACCGGGATGGGCAGCCTGGTAGTCAGGAGCCACCCTAAGATGAGGCTGAACTCTCTTATCAGTATTGCTCGCACACTCTGTCGTTAGCTCCACGTTTGCCCAAACATGCTCCAACCGCACCCCAGTTTCTCCAACCACGCTGCCATCCACGTGAGCCTGTGTCGGGGCCTCGCTGAGTCCAGGCGTACGGCTGCTTCCGCCGGCCGCCCCGTGGCTCCGCGGGGTCTGCTCGGCTGTCCGTCACGCAGAAGCCAGTGCCGCTCCCAACATGTCAATGAGCTCATTCCGTGCCCTGCTTCGTGCCTTCTCCTGCACTTGGCATAAATCTCCACTTCATTGCCCTGGTCTCATTGTAATGCCTCAGAAATGACAAACTACCTTTCGCCCCCAGGGCCTTGGTACGTGGTTGTCTCTACCCGATACGTTCCGTGTTCCTCCTCGTAGGGCTCACTTCTGCGATCTCGGTGTTCAGTTCAAGGGCGACCCCCTCCTGCAAAGCAGCAACTCCTGTCATGTCGGCTGTCCTCGGGCACTTCCTTCCAGCCTCGGTGTCCGCGGGACACCACCTCGATTGCATCCATCAGGATTTAAATCAACCTGGGACGAGTCTGTGTGTTTATGTCTCACGGTTTGTGAGAATCTGTGTTCTAGGTGCCGAGACGACCGGACCTCTCATGTCGCCGGCGTCCCTGTATGCGTGAAAGAAGGAATTCCTTTATTAACTGCCCGCACAGTGACATGACCCAGAAGCGTGGCAAGTTGGTTTGGGGGTGATGGATATTTACAAACCCACGCCCTTTCTATTCTAGCTGTTATTTTCTGCATTGTAACTTCTTTTTTTTCCTTTATTTATTTTTGAAGGGAGAATGAGTGAGAGTTAGAAACATCAATGAGAGAGAACATTGATGGGCTGCCTC